CTTTAAAAGATTTTACTTATTTATTTGACAAAGAGAGACACAGAGAGGGAACACAAGCAGGGGGAGGGGGAAAGGGAGAAGCAGGCTTCCTGCTGAGCAAGGAGCCTGAAGTGGGGCTCAATCCCAGGATCCTGGGAAAAATAGCCGAGACTGCTAATGTGGGTCACTGAGCAAAAAGAGATTATTAGGTGAAAAATAAATAAATGAAAAAAAACTCTTTAATAACATAAATTCAGACTTGAAGAAATAGAGGTGCTGTTTCTATATTGAAAGGTAAGAAAATATAAAATTGCTCTCAGTGCTGAAAAACCTTGGTAAATTTTCATAACTCATTATCTATTAAAAAAATTAAGCATGGGTAAATTGGTCTGCTGGATAGCATTTCTTATTATGTTTCTTTCTCCTTTTGCCTTCCCAGTGTAGACCTTCTCTAGATAACCGCACCTGGTCTGCCAGAAGAGAAGTGAAGGAAAGATACCCACCCACACCATAGTGTGATTGCTTACAAGTTCCTGTATGAAAGGGAATCATTTGAAAACACCTGGGATGGTTTATTAGTTTTACAGGGTTCCCTTCTTCCTGGTTTCCCTTTAGAGGGAAAAATAACATAAATTCAAAAGCAATTCCAGTCTGAAGCACAATTATTTGCTTGCATAACAAAAATCTCTCATCTTTTTCTGCATATTACAATTCTTAGAGGAATTAAAAAGAAAAATACTTTTTAATGTGTTAGAACTCTCTAATAATAAAAAGTACAAGAATTAAAATTTTTCTTTCATAGTTCTATAATTCTCCAAAAGTATTAAAATAAGTATTTATATGTTTGAGTGATTTTTTTTTTTTCCCAAAAATGCTAAATCTCTAATCAAACGCTTTGACCATTCGGCTTTACAGAATAGGGATACATTAATTGGTTCATTGATTATTTATATGGAGAGACTAAGAAAGAAGCTATTAATTGCTAGCAATTTTATATTAGAGGCTTTAATGTGTATGAAAGTATTTTTTTATTTTGAAAAATATCCATAAAGTCATAAAAGAAAGTTTGAAATACTAAGATGTTCATTTCTGAATCTATCTCTCATCATGTAATTATAAGAAGCCAATGTTTTATTTCCTTCCCAACGTTAGGTCTTCCCAAGTTGTTAAGTTCACTCTTAATTTGTATTTATTAAAAGACAGATAGCTCATTGCCATAAAGTTATTATTTGACCAAGTTAATTCCAGGTATGAAGTTTATAAATTCTTTTCTTGATTAAAAATTTTGCTTTGTAAACATTATAGAGTGGAAGAAACCGTAAACCATTAACCCTTATTTTGATAAAATAAAAGGTCGGATTGGTATACTATAAAGAATTTGAGATAGAAATTCTGAAATCACAGAGTTTATCTCCCTTTCATAGTTTATTAATGGTGTCTCTTGGGATGGAAAGTGTTTCTATAAAGCACTGTAATTAACTTTAAACACAAAAGATGTTTTATGAAATATGGTAACCTCATTTAAATTGGGTACTTTGGGGAAATTCTAAATAATTTTCCGGACAAATTGTAATTCCTTTACGCAAGTGCATTTCAGTAGAAACAGAAGCTATTATTAGTTACATTTATAATTAAAACATGTACTTGTTTATATATTTTATACCAAAAAAAGAAAAACAATATACAGTTCAGATACATCTCATTGAATACAAGCCAACACTTTTTCAGACTCAAGTTCACAAAGTTAAAAACCAGCCATACCATTGTAAGGTAATTAAATGGTTGTAGATTTCTGCTCATACAACTGCAATAAGTTTTCAATAAACATTCAAGTGTCTAGTTGTCCTTATTTTGTGTAAGAAGTGTTCAAAGTGTTGGGGCACCTGCGTGGCTCAGATGGTTAAGTGTCTGCCTTCGGCTCGGGTCATGATCCCAGGGTCCTGGGATCGAGCCCCACATTGGGCTCCTGGCTCAGCCGGGAGCCTGCTTCTCCCTCTGCCTTTGCCTCTCCCCCTGCTCATGCTCTCTTTCTCTCTATCTCTGTGTCTCAAATGAATAAATAAAATCTTAAAAAAAAAAAAAAAAAGAAAGAAATGTTCAAAGTGTTGAGCACAGCATGGTAAAAACACTTCTGATACTTGTCTTTATTTTCATTTTTTGTTCCTTTTAATTGAGGCATTTAAGACTATACATCCTTTGTTTATACCCTGCCACTGCAGATTTTTACTTAATTCAGGATTTTCAGAGTAAGGGCAAAGATTCTCTCAAAATCTATAAAAGCTCAACAACTAGTCACGTGTACACTGAAAGTGGCATACCAGAACAAATCCGTGACAATGGAGCCGAATTTATTCACTGATGATAATGGAGGCGGAGACCAGAGGAGTGTCAAATACGTGTACTGTAAACACTTTAAACTTTACTTTCCCTGTGATTTGGAGTTTGTTTTATTATTTTTCTATAAAAGTTTCTACTAAAAGTTCTTTGTAATTTCTAACATTTTCAGAACACAAAGGAAAATAGATTTTACATAGTTTAATCAAGATGGTTGAGGGGATCAGAAGTAATGGTGCCACCCCAATTTGGGGCCAAGAGGTGAGTCAGTGAAGTGGAGCAGACAGCGAGTGGTGGACCAAATAAGAGTTTTAAGTGTTGATCCTTGTCTCTTGGCTCAGTTCCTTCCAAACTCTGAAATCAGTGCAGTCTTTGGTCCATTCCTGCACTGTTTTTACTCCTTCCCAGGGCCAGGACTAGAATATGTGGACACCAAATTTAAGGGTGTGCTCAAAACCTCACTAAACAAGATAATAGTTCAATACCATTTTTGAGAAAAATAAAAACACCCCAAAATGCATGATGAACAAGATATCACATTTTTAAATAAAGATAGGATCAACTGAGCCATGTTACAGCCTGAAGCAAAGGGAAACAGTGAGTAATTCTAGTTCAGTAAGAAGAACCTTATTTTAGCATATTGGAGTCTTGAGTTCCAGGCTTTGTGTCTTCCCTTTGTTCTCACTTCCCAAAATGACCTCACTCTGTAAACTTTAGGTCTGTATCCCATTTTCCACTCTTGGCTTCCACCCGGCCAGAATGTTCATGGAAAGAACACTGGATCTGGCCTTGGCATCTTCTTACATCTAAGCTCTCATCCTACTATAAAATCATAATTGGATTCCAAGGAGTCTTGGTAAGTGGTGGTGAGGTTGATTTGAGGCTCTGAAAAATCCTCAACCTCATCTGGAAGTTTGGGGGGTTTTTTTGTTTTTTTTTTTTTTGGAAGTTTGTTATTTGATTGTACACTGAGAATCCACAAGAACTACCTATGCCACTCCTCACCACACGTTTGGGAGTATTACAAAACTAAGTTTTTGCAAGTTCTCATAATACCTTGTATCAACTGTTTTGTGTTACTTGCTATGTAGTAAGTGGCTATAGAATGTTCTCAAAAGTTTTTAACTTGGTAATGGGTAAAAGCAAAGACTATTTTGGGATGTATCCATTTCTCAGTTTTTCTTTTTTTTTTTAAAGATTTTATTTATTTATTTGAGAGAGAGACAGACAGAGCGGGCACGCATGAGATGGGGGAGGGTCAAAAGGAGAAGCAGACTCCCCGCCGAGCAGGGAGCCCGAGGCGGGACTCGATCCCGGGACTCCAGGATCATGACCTGAGCCGAAGGCAGTCGCTTAACCAACTGAGCCACCCAGGCGCCCATCCATTTCTCAATTTTTCTATTTTTAATGTAACATGGCGTAGGAGCATGTGTTAATATGTTAATTTCCATACTATTTTTTCTTCCAGTGAGGTGATAACAAAATTTTTGTGTTTCATAACTCAAAATAGTTATGCTTAACTAAGTATGACTTGTATAAACTGAGGCATAAGTATCATGGAAAGTTCAAATACAACAAGTAAACCAAAACAAAAATATTTCTAATTCTTTAGCATTTGGTAAGAACTTTTAATAATATTAGTCTTGAAAAATAAAAGAGGTCCAAACTTGCAATATGATTAAAAGAAAAAAAAAGCAGGATGTTTTCTGTTAAAATACCCTTCCCTCTAATGAGATTGTGGATGATTGTTATTGTCCATGTTGTGATTTTTGGAGTTCTGTTTTTAGTGTGCCTGAGCCTCTTTTTAAAAATTATTATTTGGGGGGGGCGACTGGGTGGCTCAGTTGGTTAAGCGTACGACTCTTGATTTCAGCTCAGGTCATGATCTCAGGGTCGTGAGATCAAGCTCTGCAGTGGGCCTGAAGCCTGCATAAGATTCCCTCTCTCTCTACCTCCTACTTGCCTCCCCTCTCTCTAAAGAAAAAAATATATATATTACTTAGGTTTACTGTTTAATTTAAAAAGTACACTTGAGGGGCACCACAGTGGCTCAGTCAGTTAAGCATTGGACTCTTGATGATTTCAGCTCAGGAAGTGATCTCAGGATTGTGGATTGAGCCCTGCCATCAGGCTCCCCTCTTGGTGAGGAATCTATTTAAGCTTCTCTCTCCGTCCCTCTTCCTCTGCCCCACCCCTCTGATGCACGTTTTCTCTCTCTAAAAATAAATAAATCCTTAAAAAAATTAAAAATAAAAGTGCACTTGCTAAAAAGGAAGGGAATGGAGGGAGGGAGGGAGAAAAGAAGGGGCTCAGCCTTTTGCAAAGTAGTTTCCGTATAAACCTATTGAATTAAGCATTATTTTGCCCATTTTTATCTATCTATCTATCATCTATCTATCTATCTCTTTATGTGACAGAGAGAGAAAGCACAAGCAGGAGAGATCTGAGCCGAAGGGAGACACTTAACTAACTGAGCCACACAGGCGCCCACCCATTTTTAGATGAGGAAACTGAAACTTAGAAAATGAGAGTAAACTAAAATCACACAGCTAGTAAACTGACACAGTTGGAATACAAATCCAAGTGTCTTCCAAAATGTGCTCTTAAGTATTAGGATATAAGAGGAGTTTTAAATGATCAAAGCCACATATTTTGTAATAACATGGAATACAAAATAGTTTTCTGACCTGCAGCTGAAAATTGGAGCAAATTTTCTGGTGTGTAGATTTTTGCCGCCTCTGTAGTGATTACTACTTCAGCTTCCGTAGCCTGTGTGTCTGTATGTGTGATTCATACTTAATTCAACAGTTTGGATTAATTCCTCCTCAACTTCCCTTCTCTCCTTTTAAGGAAACTTGGAAATCACTCTCTTTGCTTTAACTATTTTTTAAAGGGAAAAAGAGCACCTGCATAAAAAAAATTCTTCCTTTTATCTTTAAGCAGAATATTTCAAACTATTCTAAAACTAATTGTATCAAAGGGGCTTGGCTTTTTCTCTTTAGAAAGGAAAAAGGCCCATAGATTTTAGTTTAGTTTGGGGTTTTGTTTTGGTTGTTTTTGTTTTTGTTTTTGTTTTTTAAGCTTTACAAATGATACAGCTCTTTCTCAACTCCATCTTCAAGGTAGCGGCTGCGGCTGACGCAGTTCAGTCATGTGGACGTGCAGCTCTTTCCGCGCCCAAGAGCGACACACCCTGGAGGTGACTGGCCAGGAGACTGTCGCCCAGATTAAGGCTCATGTAGCCTCTCTGGAGGGTATCACTCCAGAAGATCAAATCGATCTCCTGGCAGGCCTGTCCCTAGAGGCTGAGGCTACCCTCGGTCAGTGTGGAGTGGAGGCTCTGACCACCCTGGAAGTAGCCAGTCCCACACTTGGAGGTACAGTCCACAGTTCTGGCCCATGCTGGGAAAGTAAGAGGGCAGACTCCCAAGGAGGTGGCCAAGCAGGAGAAAAAGAAGACAGGCCAAGCAAAGCGGCGGATGCAATACGACTGGCACTTTGTCAATGTTGGGGCCACCTTTGGCAAGACGAAGGGCGCCAATGCCAACTCTGAAGTGCATTGTAATCCAGGCTTTCCCCAATAAAGCCATTTAGTTCAGTCAAAGAAAAAAAAAAGCTTTACAAATGATAGAAAACAAAATGGACCACTTATACCTGCTGCCCCCAAGTCTCATTTCTGCTCTCAGGGAAACAGAAATAAGCCTTTTCAGATGAATTTATAGCTAGCGTGTGTGTGTTTGAACACCACATTTGCCAGGTCAGACCCCAGTGCTTTAGCTCATAAAATCTCGTGTAGTACTCCCAACAAGTTGTACTGTGTCATGATCATGCTGTGAAGGCGCACACGTGAGCTGTGTCTTTCCATAATGTCTGCTTTATTCAGTCATAAAGCAGGGTTAACATAATTATAAAGCAGGCTCAGGATTCCAAACTCAATGACATTTCACCATGTGATTAACTTGTCTACTTACACGGCACACAAAGCTGTACACAAGTCACACAACAAACAAGATAACACAGAAGGTAGGAAGTTAACAAACCACACAGGACGTCAGTCTGTGGGCACGCAGTTGAGGTAAGGCCTGGGTCTGGTCCCAGTCAGCTCTGGGCACTTAACTGCTTCTTCAAGCAGCGAAGGATCTCAGTTCTGTTCCAAGATCAGCCGGGCGGAGACTTTGGTGGCAGCTGCCTTTTTTCAGTGGTCAGACAGAGAGGGGTCATGTCTGAAGAGTTTAACAGTTTGCTGCCCAAATCCTCCCCTTGGAAGGAATTTAGTCTTGGGCCCCTGCAGACCTCCTTTGCTTCTGCTTACCAGTTCTGGGGTGTCATCAACTGCTGCTGGTCTCAGTGATATCTGGTAGCTGCAGTACCCCTAACTGTTTGTGTCATTGCTTGACACAGGCCCCTACTTGACATGAGTGACTCCATCTTCTTCTCTACATATTGTTACTGCCCCACCCCCTTTTTCTGTTTACTAGATGAAAACCAGGTACAAAAAGATAACCTGCCAAAGGTTTACAGAGCAGTGCTTGGTTTTCAATTCCTGGGAGCCTGGTTCCAAAGCCAGACCTTAACCATCACTCTTTTTCCTCTCTACATGCAGAAGCACATAAATACACGTGTGTGTACCCATACATATGCACATACATATATATATGTTTCATACTACATATGAAAACTTTGCCATGTGCCCTTGCAGGCCTTTACTTATTTGCATAAAGGGCAGGGAGAGGAACAGCAACTTGCTAAAACAAGATAGAGCAGCCAGAGACCAGGATTACAAAGCATCTCAGAGAGTAACAAACATGAAAAATAATCCTTGGCTGAGAAACTAGATCACTGATAAACTAGGAAGAGTTTCAGTTGTTACACAAGAGGACTAAGGTGAAGGCCAGACGGCTTCTGAACTAGTCTTGTTGGATGTCAAATGGTAATAATTCTTAAAAGCAATGAGTTCAGAAGAAGAATCCAATGCGTAACAGTCAACTCCTTAATTAGCCTACAGCAGGTAGGCTGACCCCATCTGGTTGGATTATGATGCACCCTACAAAGCATGGCCAGGATTTCAGTGTCATACTGATGGGGTTTCCTGTCATAAGTAATTTTTTATGTCATGAACTGTGATAGGAAATGACAAATTTTGTATCTCACGGTATTTAAATTAAAACCATACACTCACCCCACAGTAAAAGAACAAAGGAAAAGAGGGGAAGCTGTTGCCACCAGCAATTCAAAAGACTTAGGAAGCACAACTAACAATATCTGGTGAGGAATCTCTAATTCACACCTGTATTTTACTTCCCACCGTTGACTCACCACTTCCCAGATCTCTTAAGTCCCTGAATCGTAGCCAATCATCCTTTTAAAATTCAAATTTTATTATGTCATGTTAGGGGTTTAAAATGCTTCATTGGCAGGGGTGCCTGGGTGGTTCAGTCCGTAGAGCATCTCTGGGCCAGGAGTTCAAGGCCCACATTGCGCGTGGGGATTACCCCTTCCTACTTCCCCTTGAGGTGCCAGCCAAGGGTGGCTGATCCTTCCTTTACCAGGTTCTTTAGAATTACCAGCCTTCTCACTGGCTCTTCCTTCAGACTTAAACACTTGTCCAAGGAACTCAAATTCATCCCTTGAATTTCACCATGAACAGAGGAGCCTCGGGTGAGCCCGAGTTGAGCTGGGGCATAGTTCTACCGGGTGGGGCAGACCCACCCACTAACCCACTGAGATGCAAATTGATCCATCGCGGTGACCGTTTCTCGTTCATTTCCAAAGCTTACTATCTCCTCACCTAGATCCCAAAGTGACCCAGGACGCTCCCTTCCCTCAGTGTCTGAGAGGAGGAAGGTGTTCTTTTTAAACCCAACCTGCAATCTTACTTTGATCCTCAAACTGCGCGTAGGAGTAACAACTGTAAGGCTACGTAAAAGGTTGCCACCGCGACAAGGTCATTGATGACAACAGCGGCTTGGTGACCGAAGGAAGGAAAGAGCCGCGGCTACGCTCCAGAGCGCCTCCGCGTCTCCCCGGCCCCTCGGGGTCACTGAGCATGTGCAGGCGATTACCCACCCACTTCCGGAGGGACAGCCAATCGCCGCAAGGGCCACGGGTGCGCTTCCGGCGAGAGCCCGCCGCTCTGCGACTTGGGCGTCTCGGTTCTTCCCTGAGTCAGGCTCCGGGGACACAGCGTTCCTGGCCCGAGAGGGGCTGAGTGAGGCATCGGTTCCAGGTAAGCCGAGTGGGGTGTCGTGAGGCTCAGCCGAGCAGGGGCTTCCTCAGCATCTACCGGGCGCCAGACCTCGGGGTCGCAGCTGGTCCAAGACTGGGTCTCCTTATCTGCGGTGAGGGTCTTGTGAACACTACAGCTTCTTAGTCTCAGACCTGTGGGATACAGAATGGGAGTGGTGGGCCTGCGTTAATTAAATTCTCAAGAAGATTTTGGTTTGAACGAGAATTGTGGAATTGCTAGGTGATCGCCAAAGATTACTGTCTGTGTTTGGTGGAAGAGAGGAGGGAGGATAGGTGGGAAGAGAATGGAGTGGTAGCCACCATTGGAGAACCCACTACTCCACATTGCCTACACCTCCTGGCCAACTGAAACATCTTTTAACCCTCACAAAGGTTATACAATTAGGAATTACCATTACAACTTTGCAGATGAGCTGGTGTAGCTCAGGCATGTTAAGAGTTATTCAAGGTGATAGTGGTTGAAACTGAGAGCTAGGAATCTACCACAGGTTCTGTTTATTCATTTAATACTGTTTGAGCACCCATTATAATATAAATGGGTGCCCAAGGATAAGAATAAAGCGGGAGACACACTCCCACCAAGAAGCTTACGGTCGGGCAGAAAGAGTCGGGCATACCAGCTAAGGAATTGCAAAAACAGTTGTAAAATCAAATCAGAACTATGATGTATGATTCGGTGGGGAGCTAGGCAAACAAGCTAGGACCAGATCTTGATGGGTCTTTAAAGCTTTATTTTTCTTTATTTTTTTTTTTTTTAAAGATTTTATTTATTTATTTGAGACAGAGAGAATGAGAGAGACAGAGAGCACACGAGAGGGGGGAGGGTCAGAGAGAGAAGCAGACTCCCTGACGAGCAGGGAGCCCGATGCGGGACTCGATCCCGGGACTCCAGGATCATGACCCGAGCCGAAGGCAGTCGCTTAACCAACTGAGCCACCCAGGTGCCCCAAAAGCTTTATTTTTCTTAAAGCAGTGGTTCACAAACTATGGTCCCTTGACCAGCAACATCACCTGGGAACTTAGAAATACAACACACCAACTGAATCAGAAACTGGGAATTTGGCCCAGTAGTCTTTTACCAAGATGTATGTATGGGTAATCATGCTGCAATCTAAGGTTTGAGAGCTACTTCCTTAAAGTAATCAAGGACTAGTGGAATGTTTTAAGTGGAAGATAAAAGGATTATACTTGTATTTGGAAAGATCAATATAGCTGCAGTTAGGGAATTGGTTGGAGGCACCATTATGGAGTAGAAAAGGGGCTCATACAATCGTGGGAAGAGAGAAATGGATAGTTTAACTAGGGTGGTAGCAGTGCCTACGAAACTGGTTCTGTTAACTTTATAGTCTGTTAATGGCTTTATTCTGAAAAGTAGGGAAAACGGACCAGGGTGTGCACTTGGAATAAGTGGGACACGATGATGCCTGCAGTGAGTACCTATTTTATGTTCCTTGAACCCGACTGAGTCCTTTTTATGCACATACTTTTTTAAAAGTTTTGTATTTTTTCTTGATTTTTGTTTTCCCATTATGCTTTGCAATTTACTGTTACATTGGGCAAGAGTCTTAAAACTTCCTTCAGCCCCAGTTTTCTAATCTCTGACCATTCTATGCAGCCTCACCCCAAACCCTACGCACTCCACATCTTGTTTAGCATACTCAGAAGTACCCGTCTTGGGGGTGCCTGGCTGGCTCCGTCTGAGGAGCCTGCGATTCTTGATCTGGGGGTTGTGAATTTGAGCCCCACGTGGGGTGTAGAAATTACTTAAATAAATAAAACTTAAAGTACTCATTTTGAAAGTATTTTTTTTTTAAGATTTTATTTATTTATTACCTAGAGAGCAAGAGAGTGAACACAAGCAGGGGGAACAGCAGGCAGAGGGAGAAGAAGCAGGCTCCCCACTGAGCAAGGAGCCTGATGTGGGATTCGATCCCAGTATCCTGGGATCATGACCTGAGCCGAAGGCAGACACTTAACCGACTGAGCCACTCAGGCACCCTCCATTTTGGAAGTATTAAACAGGAATTGGAAGTCACTGAAGCCTTAGTCATTAGCTATGATAACATAATGTGGGCAAGTAAAAAGAGTAGAGACTATGCTTTTATTTTGTAGTTCTGTGTTACTGGAATTCATTACAAGTTGAATGTATTTTAACATAAAATTAAAGGTGTATTTTAAAATTTTGAAACTCCTCTCTTGTGCCTCCAAAATTTGTGTAAGAAAATTTCCTACATCACATTATACGGAGCCTGGTGAAAGTTAATGCCTTTACCAGCCATGAAGGACTTAGCAACTATATGAGACATAGCAACTTTGAGATTTAGTATCAGTACTTTTTTTTTTTTTAAGATTTTATTTATTTATTCATGAGAGAGAGAGGCAGAGGGAGAAGCAGGCTCCCAAGCAGCAGGGAGCCCGATGCGGGACTCGATCCCAGGACCCTGAGATCATGACCTGAGCCGAAGGCAGACGCTTAACCATCTGAGCCACCCAGGCGCCCAGTACTTTTTTTTTTTTTAAAGATTTTATTTATTTATCTGACAGAGAGAGCGAGAGCAGGAACACAAGCAGGGGGAGTGGGAGAGGGAGAAGCACGCCTCCCACCGAGCAGGGAGCCCGACGCGGGACTCAGTCCCAGGACCCCGGGATCACGACCCGAGCTGAAGGCAGACGCTTAACGACTGAGCCGCCCAGGCGCCCCAGTACTTTTTATATGTAAGTGCCTACACACACACACACAGCTCAGAGAACTGTGGGATCAGTTCCAGACCACTGTCATAAAGTAAGTCAAACGAATTTTGTTTCCCAGTGCATATAAAAGTTATGTTTACCCTATACTTTAGTCTATTAAGTGTGCAATAAATAGCCTTATGTCTAAAAAAATCAATGTGCATACTTTAATTAAAAAAATAATTTATTGCTAAAAATGCTAACCATTATTTGAGCTTTCGATGTGTTGTAATCTTTTTGCTGGTGGAGATCTTGCTTCTATTTGATGGCTGCTGACTGATCAGGGTGGTGGTAGCTGAAGGTTGGGGTGGCCGTGGCAATTTCTTAAAATGAGACAACAGAGATTGCCACTTTGATTGACTCTTCCTTTCATGTATGATTTCTCTGTTGCATGTGATGCTGTTTGATAGCATTTTAGCCACAGTAGAAATTCTTTCAAAATTGGGAGTCTGTCCTCAAACCTTGCTGCTGCTTTGTCAACTGAGTTTATGGTATATTCTAAATCCTTGTTGCCATTTCAACAATCTTCAGAGCATCTTTACCAGGAGTAGATTCCATCTCAAGAAACCACTTTTTTCTTCTTGTCCCTAAGCCACAACTAATTCGTCATCAATTCAAGTTTGATCATGAGATTGCAACAATTCAGTCCCATCTTCAGGCTTCACTGCTAACTCTAGTTCTCTTGCTATTTCCACCAGAACTGCAGTTACTTCCTTCACTGAAGTCTTGAACCTACAGTTTGTTACACAAAACAAAAAAAAAACAAACTCAGTATCTGAAAAGTACAATCAGGTGAAGCACGATAACATAAGGTGTGCCTGTATGTGTAATGTAGTATGTGATTTCAGCTAGATTTCTAAGAGCCTTTGAGATTTTATGAGATATCTTCTAATACTTTTTATTGTACCTGTGTTAAATGGTAGGCACTGTGACGTGTGCCTTAATTTTATTTTTTTGTTTAATAATTACAGTGTGAGAGAGTATTATTTCTCACTTTATGAAAAGAAAGCTGAAGCTCAGAGAAATTAATTTGACCAAGGGTATATAGCTAGTTAAGTGGCAGAGTTGGATGAAGACCCAGTTCTATCAGGTATTGCTGCCTCTCAATTTGTGTTATGTTTTTGCTGTTACAGTGCTAGAATCAATAAATCCCTGTCTTTCCTCCTAAAAATGTTTGGAATATGTTATCAAATGCAAAGAGCTGTGACTATATCAAATATGAAAAATTGGGGCGCCTGGTGGCTCAGTCGGTTAAGCTTCTGCCTTCGGCTCAGGTCATGATCCCAGGGTCCTGGGATGGAGCCCTGCATGGGGCTCCGTGCTCAGCAGGAAGCCTGCTTCTCCCTCTCCCTCTGCCTGCCTGCCTGTCTGCCTACTTGTGATCTCTCTCTCTCTCTCTGTCAAATAAGTAAAATCTTTAAAAAAAAAGAAAGAAAGAAAAATATAAGTTGCTTTGAAATAGATGTAGAGGGATGCATAGGATGCTGTGGGAGAACAAAGAAGGGACAGTACAGTTTGGTGATTGAGTATCATGCCAATTAATGCAGTGTTGTATGAGTGTACTCAAATTATTGTAGATTCATTTTTTACAGCTCTAATTGAGGATAATATCTCCTAATTTATAGGGTTGTTTGGAGAGTTTAATTGAATCAGCGACTACATGAAAGACCCTTAGCTTAGTGCCTGACACATAATAAACCATCCTAGAGAAAATTTGTCTTGGTCAGACTCTCCCAAAGAAGCATAACTGAGTCCCATGGAAAGAAGGGAGGAAAAGGTAATGTAAGCAGTGAGTGGTTTGTGCAGGAAGGAGAACATAACATCTTTATTTTTTTTTAATTTTTTAAGATTTTATTTATTTATTTGACAGAGAGAGACAGCAAGAAAGGGAACACAAGCAGGGGGAGGGGGAGAGGGAGAAGCAAGCTCTTGGCTGAGCAGGGAGCCCGATGCAGGGCTCGATCCCAGGACCCTGGGATCATGACCTGAGCCGAAGGCAGTCGCTTAATGACTGAGACACCCAGGCGCCCCAACATCTCTGTTTTAAAAAAATAAAGACCAACTACTTTAGGGGACCATAGCCAGATGAAGATGAAGATACTGAGGTATGAAGGGCTCTGAATGGTAAGCTAAGGGGAGTACTTTGTCTTGACTTTTGGTGAGTTACTGACAGGTTTAAATGAGAGGAAAGATTTAATAAGTTTAAGAAGTGAAGGTATGAGGGATAAGTTAAATTATATATCAAGAAGCAGTAGGTAAAATGTAGAACTTAGGATAGACCACCAGGACAAAGGTAGAGGCAGAAGACACTATTCTAGATTGAAAGGTATTTAAGGGTGCTAATAAGTAAATGTAATATGTGGGCCATATTTGGATCCAGATTCAAACACATGTGAAATAGAAAGCTGCGGCACCTGGCTGGCTCAGTCGATGGAGCGTGTAACTTCCAATCTCAAGGTTGTAGGTTCGAGCCCCACGTTGGGTGTGGAGATAACTTAAGAAATAAAATATTTAATAAAATCACTTATTGGCCAAGAACAGTGGACATGTTGGCTGCCATTTATGTGATCTCCTTATTTAAAAAGGGGTTATAGGGGTGCCTGGGTGGCTCAGTCAGTTAAGCATCTGCCTTTGACTCAGGTCATAATCCCAGAGTCCTGGGATAGAGGCCTGCATTGGGCTCCCCACTCGGCGGAGAACCTGCTTCTCCCTCTCGCTCTGCCTGCCATTGCCCCCTGCTTGTGCTCTCTCTCTCTGTGTCTAAATAAATAAATAAAATATTTTTTAAAAATTAAATAAATCAATAAATAAAAAGGGTTATAGTCCCCATTTTATAGGTCAAAGAAAGGAGATTCAAAAAAGTTACATGGGTTTTCCAGATGTATACACTAAGTAGCTGAACCAGGATTCAAACCTAATAGACTTCTTTTTTTTTTTTTTAAGATTTTATTTATTTATTTGTCAGAAAGAGAGCGAGCAAGAGAGACAAAGGGAGGGAGAGAGGCAGGCAGAGGGAGATGCAGGCTCCCTGCTGAGCAGGGTGAAGGCAGACGCTTAACCAACTGGGCCACCCAGGTGCCCCAAACCTAATAGACTTTTACCTTTAGTCCTTACGTTGTGAAACACTGCCTTCCATAGCATGTTGCTGTGATAGCTGTTGCTTCTGCAGGCCCAAGACACTGAGTCAGTCCTTGAGTTTGGGAATAATTTAAAAATGGAGGCTTTCTAGAATTATTACATTTTTCCTATTCTGCTTGTAGGAAGAGTAAGTCTGTAGTGAAAGAACTTGCTAGGTCACCAGGACAAAACCAATTTCAGATGTCAAAACCATGCTTATATTTCTGTTCTCACTGTCTTTGGATTATGAGGGAGGAGAGAGGAAGTACAAAAGTGGAGAAAGTGTCTTAGTATGGCAAGAAAGGGAGAATACTGTACTGATGGTAAAATGGCTCACAAACTTGGAGGAATTTGATTTGCTTAAAATTGGGTGTGCTGGGTGTCTTAAAAACAAGCCAGGAAATTTTCTCCCTCACTTTTTTTTTTTTAAGATTTTTAAGATAAGTACAAGCAGGGGAATAGCAGAGGAAGGGAGCCCGACATGGGGCTCCATCTCAGGACCCTGAGATCAAAGGCAGACGCTTAACCAGCTGAGCCACCCAGGCTCCCCTCTCCCTGTTTATTTCAAACATTTCAAACCTATAGAAAAAATTGAAAGGATGCGCGATATACTTAGATAAGCGTTTTGCTTAGATGCACCAATTTTTAACTTTTTGCCACACATCTTAAAATTATTGAGCCTTCTGAAAGTTGCAGCCATCAATATGGTGTCCCCACCCCCCAAAGTATATATTGCCTAAGAACAAGGATGTTTTACCTCTTACCTATGATAAATTAATATGATAAACACAATTTAATACTGATATGATATGTAGTCCATAACTAAAATTCTCCCATTTGCCCCAGAAATGTTCTTTTAGTTGTTTATCTTTTAATTTTAAGATCCCAAATTCAGTCAGGTATTGCACATTATATTTGTCTGTTATATTTCTGAAACTTTGTGTTTGTTTTTCATGACATTTACATTTTGAAGAACACATACTTGTAGAATGCTCCATAATTTAAGTTAGACTACTTGCTTTCTTATGATTGGCTTGAGATGGAATACTTTTTTGCAAGGATATCTTATAGGTTTTGTTGTTGTTGAACTGTGTGAGATGAGTGAATCTTTATAACTATGAATTCCTGTTTTTTCAAGAACTTCTACACAATGATTTTAGCATTTATTGATGAGTCTTGTGTGAATGTTTTAATACATTGGTGATTGTGGTATCATTTTTTTTTAAAGATTTTATTTATTTATTTGTCACAGAGAGAGAGAGCACAAGCAGGGGGAGCAGCAGACAGAGGGAGAAGCAGGCCTCCCGAGGAGCAGGGAGCCCGATGCGGGGCTCAATCCCAGGACCCTGGGATCATGACCTGAGCTAAAGGCAGACGCTTAACGACTGAGCCACCCAGGCGCCACCTGTGGTATCATATTTTTAACTTAATGTTTTTTCTCACCCATAGGAAAGATTCCTAATCTTGGACCTACAGCTACTTGCTTGAACAGGAAAGTCATCATGTCTGACTCTACATCATTGAGTGGGAAGAACAGCAGCCCAGCAGATATGTTCTAGTATGCAAAGACTACAGCCTGTGGAGTATTCTTGGCAACAGACTCTAGAGCTAAGGGGCAGAGAAATAAACAGGTTTGTATAGGCTCTCATCAACATGCCAATCTAGTGAAACTGAAAGTGGGTCAGTTTTCAAGGTCTGGGAGGATATCATCCACTGTCCTCTGGGTCTTGTGTGGTAGAGAGCCAGGCTTTACTAAAGGACATACTATCTTACCCACCACCTTTGTTCAGGGCTCAATGGAGTTTGTGACAGCCCTGGCAGACCTCCAAACAGGGGCTAGCTGTCCCATCTGTCTGGACTACTTGAAAGAGCCAGTGACCATCAACTGTGGGCATAACTTCTGTCTCTCCTGCATCAGTATGTTCTGGAAGGATCTAAATGATACTTTCCCCTGCCCCTTTTGCCATTACTGCTCTTCAGAAAGGAAATTTGTGAACAATCCCCAGCTGGGCAATCTGATTGAAATTGCTAAGCTACTACAGATAAGAAGAAGCAAGAGGAAGAGGAAGGAAGAGAAGCTTATGTGTGAAAAACATGATCAGATTTTGACCTTTTTCTGTCAGAAGGACCTAGAAGTTTTATGCCCACAGTGTAGTTTCTCCACTGATCACCGGGATCACTATATTTGGCCCATAGAGAAGGCTGCTGCCTATCATAGGAAAAGATTGCATAATTGCATTGAACCATGGAAGGAGAGAGTAGAACAAGTTGAAAAGGTGATAACTATGCAAAGCAGAAAATCATTGGAACTGAAAAAGAAGATACAATGTAGGAGAGAGGAAATAAAGTCTGAATTTGAGCAAATTTTGTTGTTTCTCAAAAATGAGCAAGAGATTGTTCTACGGCAATTACGAGATGAAGAAATGGATATTTTAACAAAGCTAAGTGAAAATCTAACCACATTTTCAAATCATCTTTCCACATTAAAACATCTATCAAAGGAGATAGAGGGCAAACATATGAAGTCAGAGCTGGAATTACTGACAGGTGTTGAAAGTATCTACCATAGATATAAAACCTTAAAGTCCCCTGAACCTTTTTCATTCCAGTTAAAGGAATATGGTTACCATCTTGCTCCACAATATTCTGGCCTAAATAAAATTATCAACAGATTTCAAGTGCATATAATTCTAGATCCTGAAACAGCACATCGTAAGCTTATTGTCTCAGAAGATAGAAAAACTGTGCAATATGGAAATAAAAGGCATAACTTACCTCATAACCCAAGGAGGTTTTATCTCTGCCCAGCTGTTCTGGGTTCTAGGGGTTATAATTCTGGCAGGCAGTATTGGGAGGTGGAAGTAAAAGACAAGCCTGAATGGATCATGGGTGTCTGTAAAGACTCTCTTCCCAGAAGGAGAAAGAATCAGAATCAACCAGTTTTAGCACAGGATGGATTATGGGGTGTTGGACGATGTAGTCAGAGTAATTTTATTGCATTGGGTCCTAAAAAAACTAATCTTCTGCCAAAAGTAATACCTAGAAAGATTGGCATTTTTTTAGACTGTGAATTGTGTGAGGTTTCCTTTTACAATTTGAGTGATAGATCCCTTCTCTATATTTTTAACTATTACTTTACAGAAACACTTTGGCCTTATTTCTATACTGGAACTGACTCAAAACCTCTCAAAATCTGTACAGTAACAGATTCTGAACGATGAATTACTGTAAAACTTAATTTTTTTGTTTGTTTCAGGTAGTGGACAAAACTAAGCCAGTGAATCTAGTCTCAACAGTTCTGTTGTGGTTTTTGTTGTTAGCTTTTTGTTTTTGTTTTGTTTTAGTTTTAGTTTTTCCTTTAAACAACCAGAATGATTTTATCTTAGTTTCAGCAGTTTCTATAAAATGTGGTTATAGGGTACTTGGCTGGCTCAGACAGTACCGCATGCAACTCTTGATCTCAGGTTGTGAGTTTGAGCCCCACATTGAGGGTATAGTTTATTTTTTTTTTTAAATGTGGTTATAATGAGACAGAAGAAAGAAAAATTAAGGATTGATCCCATTTACAGTTGCACCCCAAACCATAAGATACTTAGGAATAAACCTAACCAGAGGCAAAGGATCTGTACTCAGAAAACTATAGCACACTCATGAAAGAAATTGAGGAAGACACAAAGAAATGGAAAAATGTTCCATGATCAGGGATTGGAAGAACAAATATTGTTAAAATGTCTATGCTACCTAGGGCAATGTACACATTCAATGCAATCCCTATCAAAATATCATCAACTTTTTTCACAGAGCTGGAACAAATAATCCTAAAATTTGTATGGAACCAGAAAATACCCCAAATAGCCAGAGGAATGTTGAAAAGGAAGAACAAAGCTGGTGCCATCACAATTCCGGACTTCAAGCTCTATTACAAAGCTGCAATCCAGACAGTATGGTACCGGCACAAAGACAGAGATCAGTGGAACAGAATAGAGAGCCCAGAAATGGACCCTCCACTCTATGGTCAACTAATCTTGGACAAAGCAGGAAAGATTGGCCAATGGAAAAACAGTCTCTTGAACAAATGGTGTTGGGAAAATTGGACAGCCACATGCAGAAGAATGAAACTGGACCATTTCCTTACACACAAAAATAGACTCAAAATGGATGAAACACCTAAATGTGAGACAGGACTCCATCAAAATCCTAGAGGAGAACACAGGCAGCAACCTCTTCCCCTGCCTGCCATTCCCCCTGCTTGTGCTCTCTCTCTGTCAAATAAATAAATAAAATATTTTTGAAAAAAGATTTTATTTTTTTAAAGATTTTATTTATTTATTTGAGAGAGAGAGAATGAGAGAGAGCAAGCACATGAGAGGGGGGAGGGTCAGAGGGAGAAGCAGACTCCCTGCTGAGCAGGGAGCCCGATGCAGGACTCGATCCAGGGACTCCAAGATCGTTACCTGAGCCAAAGGCAGTTGCTTAACCAACTGAACCACCCAGGCGCCCAAAAGATTTTATTTTTAAGTGATCTCCATACCCAACATACGGCTTAAACTCACAACCTCAAGATGGAGTTGCATGCTCCACTGACCGAGACAACCAGGCACCCCTTCCAAGACTTTCAAATCTGAAAGTATCTCTAGTCTATCCTGATCTTTAAAAGTTTATCAGTTTCTGGTTTTGAAATAATTTACTATTATATATTTTTAGTATATTTTTATTATGTTTGTCACCATACAGTACATCATTAGTTTTTGATGTAGTGTTCCATGATTCATTGTTTGCATATAACACGCAGGGCTCCATGCAATATGTGCCCTCCTCAATACCCATCGCTGGACCAACCTATCCTCCCAGCCCCCTCCCCTCTATAACCTTCAGTTTCTTTCTTGGAGTCCATAGTGTCTCATGGTTTGTCTTCCCCCTCTGATTCCCACCCTTCATTTTTCCCTTCCTTCTCCTAATGTCCTCTATGCTATTCCTTATGTTCCACAAATAAGTGAAACCATTTGATAATTGACTTTCTCTGCTTGACGTATTTCACTTAGGATAATCTCCTCCAGTCCCATCCATGTTGATGTAAAAGGTGGGTATTCATCCTTTCTGATGGCTGAGTAATATTCCATTGGATATGTGGACCACATCTTCTTTATCCATTCATCTGTTGAAGGGCATCTCGGCTCTTTCCACAGTTTGGCTGTTGTGGACATGGCTGCTATGAACATTGGGGTGCATGTGCCCCTTTTCACTACATCTGTGTCTTTGGGGTAAATACCCAGTAGTGCAATTGCTGGGTCATAGGGTAGCTCTATTTTTAATTTTCTGAGGTACCTCCACACTGTTTTCCAAAGTGGCTGTACCAACTTGCATTCCCACCAGCAGTGTAAGAGGGTTCCCTTTCTCCACAACCTCTCCAACATTTGTTGTTTCTTGTTAATTTTTGCCATTCTAACTGGTGTAAGGTGGTATCTCAATGTGGTTTTGATTTGAATTTCCCTGATGTCTAATGATGAACATTTTTTCATGTGTCTGTTAAGTATGTCTTCTTTGGAGAAGTGTCTGTTCATGTCTTATTTTTAGCATTTTTTTGTTGCAAAATAAACCGTTATGATGTCTGAAATGTGTTTTAAAATCTATCAACAGAGGGTGCCTGGGTGGCTCAGTCGGTTAAGCATCTGTCTTCAGCTCAGGTCATGATCCCAGGGTCCTGGGATTGAGCCCCACATCAGGCTCCTTGCTCAGTGGGAGCCTGTTTTCTCCCTCTCCCTCTGCCATTCCCCCTGCTTGTGCTCTCTGGCTCTCTCTCTCTCTCTCTCTCCGTCAAATAAATAAATGAAATCTTTAAAATAAAATGAAATGTATCAACAGAAACAATGTGCTAAAGCATGACTTTTAATCAATACTGTATACAGAGTTAGTTTCCCTTACCAGGAATTCACATCCAAGGATGGTCAGGTGGCATTCTAATGGGAAACTCAAGCTGCAAGTGCTACAACATTGCCTCAGTTATCTTAATCTCTATCATAAAGTCTGAGGCTATAATTAAACTAATGGATTATAATGGTTGTAAAAAAATGAGGTGACTTTGATGAAATTAGTGGTATTGGACATAATGTGAATTGACTGAGAAATTTGAGTTATTCACACACTTGCATGGATAGGACAATAATGCTAGGGAACCCTGTAGCCTGTACCTGATAAAAAATATGAGGCTGGAACTCCAAAACTGTCTGGCCATTGATTTTAAGGACACTGGTGACCTCACAGTAAGTATAATGTTAGATGAATCCTGCCTTTATGGAATTGTGTTTGCTTCAAGTGAACCTTTGGTGCAAGCTCAGAACACCTAAACAGAATGCTGGGAACACTCGGTTTACCAACAAGGCTATATGAATGTAAAGAGTCTGCCTGCTAAGTAAATGACTATTTCAAATGTGTTCTAGAGGGTGCCTGGGTGGCTCACTCAGTTAATTGTCTGCCTTCGACTCAGGTCATAATCCTAGGGTCCTGGGATTGAGCCCCTCGTTGGGCTCTCTGCTCAGAGGGGAGTCTGCTTCTCCCTCTCCCTCTGCTGCTCCCCCAGCTTGTAATCTCTCTCTCTCAAATAAATAAAATCTTGTTTCTTTAAGATTTTATTTATTTACTTATTAGAGAGCAAGAGAGAGAAACAGCATGAGAGGGGAGAGGGTCAGGGGGAGAAGCAGGCTCTCCGCTGAGCCAGGAGCCCGACATGAGACTTGATCCCAGGACTCCGGGATCATGACCTGAGCCGAAGGCAGTCGCCCAACCAACTGAGCCACCCAGGTGCCCCTAAAATCTGTTGTTGTTGTTGTTGTTGTTGTTTAAGTAAAATGCTGGGGCGCCTGGGTGGCTCAGTTGTTAGCGTCTGCCTTCGGCTTAGGTCATGATCCCGGGACCCTGGGATCAAGCCCCACATCGGGCTCCCTGCTCCACGGGAAGCCTGCTTCTCCCTCTCCCACTCCCCCTGCTTCTGTTCCTGCTCTCGTTGTCTCTCTCTCCATCAAATAAATAAATAAAATCTTAAAAAAAAAAAAATGCTGAGACCTAAAAAAAAAAAAAAAAGACTAAGAAAACAGAAGTGATGTTGTAGCACTTGGAGCTTGAGTTTCCCGTTAGAATGCCACCTGACAATCCTTGGATGTGATTTCCTAATTAGGGAAACTGACTAACTCTGTATACAGTATTGATAAAAGTCATGCTTTACCACATTGTTTCTGTTGATGCATTTTATTTTATTTTATTTTATTTTTTTAAGATTTTATTTATTTATTTGAGACAGAGAATGAGAGGGAGGAGGGTCAGAGGGAGAAGCAGACTCCCTGCCGAGCAGGGAGCCCGATGCGGGACTCGATTCCGGGACTCCAGGATCATGACCTGAGCCGAAGGCAGTCGCTTAACCAACTGAGCCACCCAGGCGCCCTGATGCATTTTATTTTAAAGATTTTTTTTATTTGACAGCAGAAGGAATAGCAGGTGCAAAGCCATAAGGAAAGATTGTAACTGGCCTGTAGGAATAGCAAGGAATTCAGAGTGGCTAGGACACAGTAAATAAGTGGGAGAATAATAGGAAATAAGATCAAGAAGCAGCAGGGGCCCGAATAGTATGTTGTCTGAGAGAAGATTCTAAGGGCCACTAAATGAGATGGGAAGTCATTGGTGTGTTTTGAGCAGAAAAGCAGCACATTTATGTTTCAAAAGGATCACTCTGGCTGCTCTGTTGAGGATAGCCTGTAGGGAGCAAGTTTAGAACCAAGAAGACAAATTAGGAGGCTATTGGAATAATCCAGGAGAGAGAAAGTGGTGCTTGGATCAGTGGGAGTGGTAAGTAGTCACATTCTAGGTTTAGTGTGTGAGTTCATTATGAATAAAACATTGATGTCTCATTCCAAGCAGAAAAGACAAAAAAACAAAACTGTCTTGCTTTGCATTTCAGTGGTACACCTCACAAGTGGTGGCTTTTGAAATACAATTAAGCCTTTGCCCATTAACAGTAATTGCAATGAGCAATCGGAGGAGTCCCAAACCCAGCAGCCAGTCACAGCTCAGCCTTTCCCCCTTCATTCTTCTCTAAAGCCAAGCTCAGTGGCTTCTTTAGCTGAGAAAACCAGCCACAATTCAAAAGCATAGAATCGTAAGAATTTCTTGATTGAAAAATCAATAGTGTTCTTCCAGCACCTCTGCCCTGCTCTGTCTCTGCCAGTTTCTGGTTCCTTAATATTCCTCCACCAACATGGTGCCCCATGAAATCATCTCTATAATAATCTTTTGCCCATTTCCCCTACATCATCAGGCTTGTTCCCAATTGTCCCCTTTCTAAACTGTCCCCATCACCCAAAGTAAGGCAGCAGAATAATGGAAAGGGCATGCATTTGAAATCCCAAACTAAGCTGGTCTATTTGTGCCAGTTACTAATTTATCACCTCTTGATTTTATCTTTTCAAAAAATCAGCTTTGGGTTGTTGATGTTCTCCCATTGTTTCTAATTTTCACCTTTATTGATCCCTTTCAGCTTTATTGATATATTATTCAAAATAGTTTTTAAAAAATAATAACTTTTTTAAAAAAGATTATTTATTTAAGAGAGCGAGGACAGAGGGAGAAAGAGTTGGAGAAGCAGACTCTCCGCTGAGCAGAGAGCCCAATGTGGGGCTTGATCCCAGGACCCTGAGATCGACCCGAGTGGAAGGCAGACACTTAACCAACTGAGCCACCCAGGTGCTTTACTCCCAGTCCTGCAAGCCTGGTATCACCGCGGGCTTCCCACAGGCCTGCTGGGAAGAGCCTGGCTTGCCAATTATTAAATATGATTAGGGTTTCATTCATAACTGTAAAGTTTTTTTAAAGTTAGGGATTAATAATTTGTTTTACTAGAATGGCAGAGGAGATATAAATAATTTTATTCTGTAGGCTTTTTATTCCATTATGTAAAAACCACAAATCAGGTACTGTATTTTAGTTAAAAACTGCTTTAATTCAACAGAACAGCTTTTGTGGCTGTTTAATGAAATCTGTAAATAGAAGGTGGAGTTCAAGCCATCCTGGCTGAGCAGTTTATAACTACAGGCTCTAAAGTATGTCAAGTACAGAGAATATTCTGGAACATAACTGTTTACTGCAACAGAGGTGTGGCATTTGAAGATGAAACTAAACCTAGATGTGTCCTGGAATGTCCGCTATCTAGTGATTTGGTAAAGAGAGCGTTCCGGGGCTGTGCTTCTGACTTCAGGTTTTATGTGGTCGACTCACACAGAGGCCCCGACCTTGATCCCCAGACACCTGCTGATGAACCCGTGTGCCAGGGGCCCATTTACAGCAGTCCTGCTGAGGACACCTTGAGCCTGAGACCTACTGTTTTGACACTAGGAACCACTGACCCCACTGACCCCAATTTGATCAAATTATGTATAAAATTCTTTTTAGAAGAGATGCTTCATTAACAGGGAGGAGATTGTTATTTTGCAGTTGTAAGAATAGCCTTAGGTGTTTAAATTTTTCTTAATATATATGTAATAAGGAAGATTCAGCCATCACTGGAGTGTTTTAGAATCCCAAGGACAGCAGAATGAAGCTTCAGTTGTCATTCTTTTAACCATGATCTGTCTTTAGAATTTTTGTTTCAACATCTAGAAAAGGGTTTGTTTTCTTATTTCAAACCAATGAAATAATCTGGATGAAACAAGCCACTCATTGGCATATGACCTTTTAGAAAAGTTGTTTTGTTAAAAAAAAAAAAAATTACCTATTATTAATCTGGATTTGCATTGAATATGTTTTAGTGTTTTTATAAATAGTGAACTCAGTTTCTGAAATTAAACTTTTTATTTGCAATTTTCAAAAAAATAAGAATAATAGTTTTTATTATTTTCTTTTGCTTGATTTAGCTTTAATCTGTTCTCCCTATGGTTTACAGTACACATTTTTAAATAATCTGGGGTCGGAGGGGGGGGAAAGGTGGCGGAGGAGTAGGGGACCCTATTCCAACCAGTCCCCAGAATTGAGCTGGATATCTACCAGACCACTCTGAACACCCACAGAATCAGCCTGAGATGTAAGAAGATAGATCTGGATCTCTACATATAAAATACGGCAGGCGGCTGGTTTCGAGGTATGAAGCAAGAAGCTTCGATTCTGCGGGCAGATATTGGAGGATAAAGAGCAGCAGGAGGGAGCCTGACCATGGGGATCCTACACCACCAGTGAGCACTGGGGACAGGCACAGACTTGCAGACCAGTACCTGTGGGGAAAGGACTTTAGGGCAGCCCCTGGACAAAATCCGGGAGCAGCGGGGCCACACATGTGAACTGGGAGTGGCTGGCAGTTTTAGAAGCACAAAGGGCAGAGATGTGCCCCAACCTGGAGGTGAGGACTGGGAGCACTACTGAGGGGTGCACACCCAGGACGCTGAATTTTTTAGCAGCACAGATAGAAGTGGAGATAGAGTGGCCTGGAGAGCTCACTGAAGAACAGACTGATCTCTCTGCTCTAAGGCAGAGGGTTGGAAACGGTCTCTTCTGCTCTGACTCACGGAAGAGACACAGAAAGCCACCAGGGAATGTTGCCAGAGAACAAAAGCCCCAAAAAGCTGGTT